CATAAATATGGACATGCTGGTCGCCTGGGGGAAACACCTTACTGCCTTCACACTCCTGTCGCAGAGGACAGTACGACTTTACCCCCAGACCGCCTCGTAGCACGATTACTCGTAGTACGGGGTCTCGCTGCTCTTGGTCTGGCTGCTCCCCTTTGGCCTTCCTGGCATGGTTGCACCTTGTGGAACGAAGTTCCAGCCAGTGTAACCCGCGGGATCATTGCAGCACTGAAGCCCGACCACCACGTCAAGGTGGCAGCTTTAGGTCGTTTAGGTCGCTGCATTCGTAGCGAGCACTTACTACCGGGAATAGCCGTACACTATACCAAATAATAGGACCCATTGTGTATAGGGAAGCAGCAGATAAGCGAAAAAGATGGCTGATTAACTCGCAAAAACATCGACTGGAATGATGGACCGAACAATTCGAAGAACAACTTAGCTGGTCTCCTCCAGCACAGCCTGTGGAGATAGTGCATACGGGCGAATGGGATGTAAACCATGATCGTTCGTCGGAAGGGAAAATAAAGTACGAAATATCAGTACATGGCTGAAAGGTTCCACCACCATCTCAATGCGGTCACCATTGCAGTCAACGACGTTAAGTTGATTGATGCCATCCCCTTATGTATGCGTTGCGCAGTGAGAGCAAGCCTACAGGTCCTTATGGGCGAAAGAGCTCATAGCCACCTGTTGCATCCACCATGAGTGCTTCACCCATTACCACTACAAACATGCCCTTACGATACTTCTTCGCCCAAGCATATTATCACCATATTAGGTTGCCTGAGCCCTAATGACACCCGCCTGTCAAGAAATCGTTCAGCTATACCTGGAGCCATGCCAGGCTGGAGGGAACACGAGGGCTGGGATACTGCCAGGTTGCCCAAGCCTAGACAGGAGAAGTCGGGGGGCAAAGATCGGGTTTGAACCACGGACCTTCCGGTCGGTAAATTCACGCTCTAACCAGTGAGCCATCTCGCCCCGCCCGTCGAGTCCGGAAACATGCACCCATGATTCTCAACATGTCTATAGAACAGAAGGCCCTTTAGGGCGCTCTATTGCAAACAGGGACGTTTTATCAAGGACCTGAGGTACCTGAATTGAAGCGTCTGACGTTTCAACGTCTGGACCTGTATCATTGACGGTTTCACGCTACTTGCTTCGCTTGTTTTGACACTAATATCTATGACGAGCGCTTTGCCTCAAAGACCCTTACCTGGCGGTTTTCATAAATGTTCATTGGCATATACTTCATTGACTAGCGTCTTTGCTAAGCATTCAGCGTCACGCTGAATGTCCACTCATATATTGGTCGTACTACCCGCATTTGTCCTTACTCCACTCAAAAGTTTCACCGCGATCACAAGCCCACTGAAATGACACGTTACCGATGATTTCTCGAATTTCCCGACCTCAAAGAGCCACTGCTGGTCGTCAAGCTTGAACAAGACAATATGACATAATGTACATAGCTGTGGTCCACCGGTATGGTGGATGCGATTCGCCTGTTCGGGCGCCCCATGTTACCTTAGGGGGCAAACAACAAACCCTAACAGATACTCGAGACACCGAAGACAGCTTCATAGCGCCGTAGCACTTGATGCTTGAACACTTTAGAAGATAGCATCTCCCATCGCAGTTTTCAGGCTGAGTGACCCGCATGCAACCACCCTGTCTTTTTGATTAACCCAGTCGGATAATCTAACCAATGCTTCATCGGCCGCTCCAATTCCTACACAGCAGGTCGGTGGTACACAGCGTTCCAAGCCTTCACCTTTCCATACCTCTCCCGTCTCGAACAGGACACCTGCAGACGGTGAGAATTCTTTGTTAAAGACATCCCCGCGGTGTCGATCAATTATTGTCGCCAAAGGCAGCACCTACTTTTTGGACGGGACAAAGGTCCTAACGCATTGCCAGAAAGCTCGAGTTTACCATCGGAAATGTGCATGCTTGCGTACGTATGCTTAGTGTGTACGCTTAGTTTGACAATATGTAGTATTTCTCTCAGAAGAATCAGCACTTTCATACGGCGACCCGGGGCAGCAAGTGTTGTTGGACTTGAACATATTTCCCTTCGTTTATTCCCTTTCTGGGCAGTGAGTGCTGGTAAGGTCACCTAGCTGGACAGCGAAACAATACATAATTAATCTTCTGCCCCCACAGTTGCCGAACGAAAGCCATGTCATTGCCTTCTCCAATCCCAACCAAACGGACAAGATCTCCCTTCAAACCCTGTGACAATGATGAGCAATTTGACGAACCGTTCGAATGAGTTACAGGAAGAAACTACCTAATTTTACCGGCGTTCTCTACCGGAGCTCCGGTACCGCTCATGCTGACACCGTTGATCACAGGTTTTTCGACCGTTAGATAGGACTTGAGTTGGCATCGCGTTCGTACCGAGCTTACCGAAACACTGTAACTATTAGCGTCAGGCAATACATATTTGGAACATTCCGCTCGAACCAGTGGTATTCACTGAACCCCCATGATTTGTCGGTCAGTGAAAGATGAACCTCCACAATTAGACTAGAACGTCCCGAACAGTCTCTAAAAAACCGGAGGAAGCGCAAAGCGCTGAATTGGGCCCTTCCTTTGTTACCTGTGGAAGAAGATAGCAGAAAGTATGCATGTACATCAGCAGATTTACTCAATAACCGGACCGACTTACCAGTTCAATCAAGCTCAATGCCTCGCGGCATAAAACGCGGTACCTGGTTGTCGTGTCGGCTTGTCCCCCAACGGACTGCAGTTCTGATGAGGAGAAGGATACTTTCTATCGAGAGCTATCCGGGCTCATTCGTCAGGAAAAAAGCACTGACATTGTGATCCTTGCAGGCGATTTGAATGCTCAAGTAGGTCGTCTGAGCTCCTTGGAATCACATTTGGGTGGTCGATTTGGAGTCGATGCTCGCCGCACAGACAACGGAGATCGACTCCTTCAGTTGCGTGCTGATCACGAACTGTTTCTGGCAAGTACGAACTTTCA